GATTTTCATACCATAACCGGAAGTCAAGTTTGAGTCTGCTTAACAGAAATAAAAAATTGCATGTTTAACAAAACATTTTGCAATTTTATGGAGTTTTAAAGGTTTTAACTGTTCATCATAAGTAATAGAGCAATATTTCAAAAAATAAACTCTCCTTTCGTTTCCCGTAACGATGCAAAGGCTTCTTGAAAATGGCTTAAGTAAGCATTTCCATTGCTCAAGTTTGAAAATTTCAATATAAAGGTGATGGAGAGTTGCTGATGCAAAAATTCACAACATTACACCCGAACAAGGTCTTACGTATCATATTCATTAAGGACAGTCCTTGTACAGGAAGTCCAAGGGTGACTACACTCCTCTAAGTTAGAGAAAATTCGACCTAATCATCTGAAAGAAAGGCATTTAATATGGCGAAGAATGATTCCTTCGCTCAGATCTCGATATTGATGAACCTATTGTATCGTAGAAATTAAGCTGCAATGGTTGTTTAGGGCAGTCTTGCACGTTTATCTTGAATGTCTGGGAGGGGGGTGTTTTAACAGTCATATGTTACTTAGTAAAGTAAAAAGATAAACATTTAACATTTTTATCAAATATCTGATGTTTTGAAAAGTGAGTTTAGCCTTACTGTATTCATTTTTGAAAATCATAAGGAAAAAAAATCAAACATTTGTAGATTACTGCTTGTTGCGTTTCTTTTGCGTGTCAGTATATTGTATTTTAAGAATCGAATCAAATGCGAGTTCTTATCTAACATAAAACGGCGTCGGAAATAGTCCCCATACTTTTGTCCATAGTCTGTATTATCCTTATATCTTTTGATAGAGAAGAGTTAGGACTTTAATATTTGACATGCGCAATGCCTGTAACAAGATGGTTCGGAACATTCTATAATTCCTTTACATCTTGACCATGACTTTTGACTTTAATTTAAAAAAAAACTTTATTGATTACATTTGTATGTCATGTGATACGGGTTTCACGTTTGACAAAATAGGCTATATAACATGATGATATCTCATCCATTAAGACATATACATTTAAAGCCTTGAATTAAAACTCCTTACTTCGCGATGCTAAAGCAGACATTTTTTCCTCTCCTCCACTTGTTTGTGAGTTTGACTATTTTTTTCTTATACCATACTAGATGAAATCTCGCGAAAGCGCAGGGAATACATTTTTTTCCACTATACCAACAGAAAAATTCCAATATTCTATACAATGGTTCGTGGTTTCTTTTGATAATTAATCCTCTGCTGCGAAAGGGAAATATATGTTGCGTTATCTGTTATCGTTATTGTTATTGAAATTTTAATATTTATATTAAATTTTCACGGGGCATTATTTTTTTTTAATTGCTAAATTGAAAGCATTTGTAATCAAATAGAGTTAAATAAGCCTTTGAAACACTAATCCTACCATAATATTACATTAATTATCAAATTTTTTTATGTACATGATTCTTAAGTGCAATTTCAAAATACTTTTTCGCATATTTTTCATGGGAAATAGAACGTACCTATAAAATATTTACAACGTTTTCCAAACAAAAAAAAAATCAAGTTTAAATGATCATGTTTTTGAAATGTTCTATGTAGATCAGATTCAACCAACTCTCCCACCCCTTTCATGCAGAAAAGAAAATAGCGGTGTCTTTTAGTAATATGATTTTCTAATTAAAGATACAAAATTATGTCTTTTCTTCATTAGCACTTAAAAATGTAATTACACGACTTTGGAAATAATGAATATCACTACCAAATTTGATTTTCAGTTACAATTTTAAATAACTATTTCAAAACAATTTTTTAACTGAAAGGTAGATTGACGTCGTGTTTTTGACGTAAGATAAAGTGTCGTTTTGAAAGAAGGGATAATAAAATTTTACAGAAGAAAAGGTACTATTAGTTTATTAAAATACTTCCGATGGGGTTTTAAACAAACCATATTATTCTTTCTATAAGTATGAACAGTGTCAGTAATAACTACAATTTATTTTGTAAGTTTAAATTCAATTCCCCACGCTTGTATTAAAAACTTAACACTTATCCAACTAAAGGGTCAATACGTATCCCGAACGCTAATATCGTAATTTAGTTTAAACTTTATTTCATTCAAATTAGACACCATATAACTCATTCTTCAATACTGGTGAATTTTTAAAATATATTTCTTTTCTCCCTTATTTTCCAATAAATAAAGTGTAAGCAGATAGATTGATATTGATATGATTTGTTACTTGTGCAAGGATATAGTATAAATAGCTTTATGGATATGAGTTGAGGAATAAAAAAATATTGATCATTGTTGTATTGCATTTAGGGGATTTCGATTGCAGAAAATGTGACATAATTTTCGACTAGGCATAAAGATGTTGTTTTATTTAAAAATAAAATCATTTGGCATGATATATGTGTACATTATCTTCGCATATAAATGAAATAATATATTTATTTTGTCAAACATGCTAAAATTATCCTAATTATTTTTTTCTTAACTTAAAAATTTGTGGTTTATGTTCGTAACGCATGGTGTCCATATGCATTGAACTTTTAACACCTCTCTACAAACATTAAATAATTTGTCAAGTTCAATTTCTGTGTTAAATTAGTGAGTATGTGTGATAAATTATTTTTAACAATATGCCTCATGAACATAACTCAGTTCTGTTTGTAATTTTAAAATGATCTCTGATTGTAAAATTTTTGGTGTCTTGACCGTTATGAACATAATAGCTTTCAGTATGATTGCTAAAATAACAGCCAATGAATCAAAAGTTTGGCTCAGGAAGTCCGTAGCAGTGGTATAATTATAAATTGAAAACGAAAGTAGGAAGGTTGCGCAGCTGTCTGCTAAAAAACATGGCGATGCTCATTGTGTCCATGTGGAAGAAAAAAGTTACGTACATAATAGATTCGGTAAGTATTTTTATATTGTATCAATTTTAGTGAATGTTTAACACATAAATTCAGTCATGGTATCTTTATACCATGTAGCTAATAATCAGAAACTAAAATATGTCGCTTATGACAATACAAAATGCATAAATCTGTCCGAGTCGAGTACTTACGGTTTAACATTTGACTTTTGATTCGCGTCTTTTGTTACGAACATAATTGTTTTTGCATTATTTGTATAATCTATAAATGATAAAGTTATATTGTACTATATTTTATTCTATATTTGTTAGTTTTGATCTGTTCTTATCAAAGGATGAATAGATAGTTTTCATATGACCTAATTTTAGCAAAAGTTAGCTCCCGTTGGCCGCCACACTGGAGGTCCAAATGCTCATATTCCTTCATTGTTCAACCAATTTTAAATTTTCATATTTGCGATTTTGAATTAGGAATCATTATTTTTCTGAAGTATATAAATTTTTGGAAGCCTCCTTTATTAAGAAAAAAATATTTAATAAAGATTTTCCACCAAATATTTCTGCTATATTTTCTTAAACTTGGTAAGACAAAGAGGAAAACTCACCGAGTCGACCTCCAATATGGCGACCAACGGGAGGTAACTTTTGCTAAATTTGGGTCCATCGAAAACTATGTATACTTATTGAATATTTGTTTTAATATTGCCATATCATTCACGCAATTACGTTCGTAACAGAGACACGAAAACGTGAAGTAGTGACATAATTTGTGCTTTAATTGCCTTCTTTCTGGTTTTATCAAGGATATATAATAAATATAATTAAACAGCATATGTGTTGATTACATCATGTTGTATTTTGTTTCATATATTTTTTTTCTTTCAGATTTACAAGAAATGGCTGAATTATGTTCGTAATAATGATTCAAAGATCCAAGACTCAAAATAGAAGACCTAGGATATTTAGCAATCCATCTGACAATTTACTTGTCTGCATTAATTCTCTTTGAAAACTAGTCTATTATTAAGCTTTGAAATGAAATATTAAAAGTATTAAAGACAAGTGTTCGATTGTCTTGTTATTTTTTTTTTCTTTTTTAAAGCCTGATTCGGAGCTAGGTGTCCATGTTACTTACATTATTTCTCTTTTTTGAAACTAAAAATAAAATTTGTGACTTTTTAATAAATTCCATTTAATATAACATTATACATGATTTAATCATACCTTATTGATTACATTTTTTTCACACTCTAACAGCTTGTTAAATTCTAGTAACATGTTACTTGTTTAGTGCTTATGTAAGTAACGGTGTCCATTGGTAATCTTGGATTTTCTAGTTATAATGGAATAAGATAGAAATAAGTCATGCAATAAAACATGCAAACTAGTGTTTATATACTTCAAAAAGGAGGATTCACCAGAAAAGAATAGCTTATTGATTTAAAAAACTGTCACTGTGGACACCAAGTTACATACATAAAATTTCAGACATGCTTGTACATTTGGACACCTATCTCCTCTTTCAGACTTCAGATTATCTTCCCATCAATTTTTTTCAGAAGCAGGAAGGGTACTGACTCAATTAATATACATATATTATGAAATTGATTATTTTTAAAAAATAGCCCTTTGGTCACAAATTTGAACTAAGTACTGAAGAATGAGTTATATATACACAGTAGATAATACAAACAGGATTCGGAAACAAGTTGTAACAACTTATATAAATCCGATTCCTTAAATTAACTTTCAACTTTAAATAAACATTTGCCCTTTTTGAATGACAGGTATAATAGGAAAAAATAACGGAGAAAAAATAAAGATGAAAACAAAAATGAGAAGAAAAAAAAATTGTAGAGAGAGATATCATAACATGAATTAACACTAATAGTAAATGAGGAATAAACACAGTCATACAATGCAGTACAAGATCAAACAATAATAAGATTACGGCCACAAGTAATATTCAAGTTACAAATCTTTTAGAAGCAGAAATAAATTGATACACATGTTTAGAAATGTTGGTATTGAAGGAATAATTCTTTGTAGAATCTCCGAATAAGAGATTGTGTAAAGGGACCAAGCTAACGCACTTTGAAAAAAAATATTTTTTTTCAAAGTGCATTAATAACGACCATATTAACGCACTTTGAAAAAAAAATGTCAAGCTTGATCAATGTTCTCACAAATAATCGGTATGATAAATAATTGACCCCGGTTGGATAACCTTTTTTATGATGAGGTCACTTGAGGACATGAGATATTGAATATTTGAATATCTTATGTTTTGATAAATGTTATAAAAAGGAAATTGGTCTTTTAGAAAAAATGGAGAGGTAATTGTTTTATATCATTATTTTATTTCTGTTTAAATATTATAGTATGTAATAGGTAGATGTGAAGGGGGGTGCTAAAAGTGAACGACTCAAAGCATTGAATTTATCTTAAGAAAAAGGGGTCAATTTGATTTTTCAAAGTTATGAAAATTCTTTCTCTCTCATATGTTTTACTGTACTTACATTTTTTTTTTAGTTTTCATCTGTTATACGTTGACTCATTTATTGAAAGTTTTCTACGTCATACTGATACAAGTTATGTAAATGCATATACATACAACTACCTGTTTTGGGTATAGCATAGGCATCGAAACCGGGCGAAGGACAAGAGGAGGGGGGTTAGCTTCCCACTTAGTTTGGAAAGATATACATCATATAAGCATTGAAAATGCGGCTTATCCTTTTGAAGGTTTATTACTCCCCTCCCACGTTTTATTTTTTACCGACGCCTATGTATTGGAATGATAAAGATTTGGACCGTTAGATCTTATATCCGTCTTCTCCTCTTCTCGACGGGAGTAAATCAAATGCATGAGTGTTTTGAAAGATAAATTACAAATTTAATCTTTCCATTTCTAAAATCTGAATCCAGAATTTTGTTTTGTTTTTACATATTTTTCAAAGTGCGTTAAGTGTCTCCATGATAAAATATATTGATGTAAAATCTTAACGCACTTTGAGAAAAAAATTTCAAAGTGCGTTGAGTTGGTCCCAAATTTAACGCACTTTGAATTTTTTTCAAAGTGCGTTGATTTCGTCCCAATTTTAACGCACTTTGAAATTATTTTTTCAAAGTGCGTAATGTTTTCAAAGTGTGTTGTCACACTGGTCCTAATGGGTCAATGAATTTTTTTTCCTTGAGTCAGTTTATAGAGGACATTCTAATAAAAAGTGTGCTGCTGTTTTGATTTTTCCACAAGCACAATTAGGATTATTTATTACATGATATATTGATATTATATTATATTAACTAATTAATAATAATATTACGATAAATATAATGTATATAATATATCATTAAAAAAACCTTCAAAACCCCATTGTAAAATATAATGGGTACATTGTTCAAATACACTACAAATTACTTATACATCAGACCTGGAATCCTTTCTGTTTATTTATTTTGCGACATGCTATTTTGAAAGTTAGTCCTTTCCATTCAGCTGAGTTGCACTTTCTTCGAACAGTTCACATTGATTTTCCAAAAAATCGTTGGTAAATAACAAAGCTTGTTTTAAAGCATTCAAGGCCAAAATGCTTATATCCGTCTCAAGACATCCCTCCCTCTCGTAGTTTTTCACCGGAAGAACATGAGCTCTTGGGATGGTGATGCCCTCAGCAATCTTGTCAACCATTTCTTTTATAACCTGGCTGTGAAACACTTCTTGTATGTCATCATCAACTGAGCTGCATACTTTATCAATCTTGGTTACAAAAACTAATAAAGGAATGCCTCAAAAATATGTTTTATAGGCATTTTAATTTAACAGAATTGTTAGAATCGATGTCAGTACTAACTGAATTATTCTAAGCTATAGTCTAATTTTTATGCATGTTATACAAACAATTATTTTAGTCCAAGCATTACAAAAAGAAAGCGCTTAAAAATAAATGTTATCACTAATTTTTTCGTGGGAATTTAATTTTCGTTGTTTCGAGGTATGGGAAGGCCCATAAATTTATAAGTACGAAATAATGTTAAATTTAATATGCTAATACATTACTACTTACCTTTCTCCCCGCCACGAAATGAATCCATAAATCGATATATTTCCCACCCAAACCTCGAACATTTTACCAGAGGAAAAATAGACTTTATATTAAATTTTTATATGTTAGAAAATTACACGTATAAGTTCTTTGCCACGTGATTACTGTAAAATGAGTTTTTCAGAGATCAGTTGTACCTCTATCAATTATCATTTCTCTGATGTCTTTGAGTTTTTTGAAAATCCACTCTGGAATAACATCAAATGTACTTCCATTCAGCACATAGACTACCACATGAATTTTATCCTTCAGAGTTGGGTGTTTCTGGAATCCATTTATATCTGTTGATGCCGCAGCCACAGGATTGAACTGTTAAAAATAAATATTAACACACTGAAGATTTTAGATCTAAATATAAATATTTATATGTTATAAATAAATGTTTATTAATTGCATGTTTCATATCTATTTTAGCCCAGTGTTCATTTTTCTAATCAATTGTAAATATTTATTTATTTTAAATTTAAGAATTTTCAATTTTGCGACCACAAAAAACTTTGACCAAACCTTGTAGTTATTTGGCAGATTCCCATCCAGAATGTAGACAATATCCTCATTCTTAATTGCAAGAGATTCTTCTAATCCTCGTGTGTCACACAGTCTGAATTTTAGAAAATTCCCTGAAGATTGGTCCCGAACTCGAAGTTTGTTAAACTTTAGAATAAATACATTTTTATTAGCATTTTGAAAAGTTGTAAAAAAAAACCAATGTTGACATTAAGTTTTCTTTTTTCATAAAAGATGTGGTATATATTATATCCTCGATTTAATATACGTCTATAAAAACCTTTCAAAGAAGTATTCAATTCATGCTCTATCGCACATGCACACATTGGCTAAAGCGTTTGCTCTAGGGTATCAAAGAAGGAAGTCAATTCTTATTTCTTGGCTTCTAATCCCAGTATGGGACGCGAAAATCGGTCCTTTGGATGAGACCGAATAAATCGAGGTCTCGTGTCGCAGTAGGCACTAGCACTAAAAAAAGATATCTTTCTTCTCAATGGCCCTGAGTGCCGAGAATATACCAAGATTGGTAGCTCTCCACCGGCAAGTGGTAGCGTCTTTATATGAGTGCAAAATTCTCGAGAGGGACGATAAACAACATACAATCAATCAATTGATCAATCTTGCACTTTAATACATTCCAAGATAAATTAATTATTACATATTCCAAGTCGTTCCATCAGATTCTTCATTGTACCAAGCAAAAAAGTGATTTTATATTAATTATAATATCAGTATCAAAGAACAATGACTAAGTTTGGCTATTTTTTTCCTCTTGAAAGACAGAAAATTGTTTCTATGAGCAATATACATACATAGCATTTCTTTTTTCTTTTCTCCTTTTTTCGTAGCTTCAAGGGAGAAAACTAAAATTATAAGCTGTGCCAAATATGCAACTCGATGGCTTAAATAATGACAAAGTCTAACTCTTATACTACTATTTGATAGCCTAATACTAGTATGATGTTCCAATTTAATATCACTGTGTATCTCAGAGATGAAAAATTAGTTCAAAGTAATAAATAGCACATGATCAATGCTTTATCTTGAATTACATATTCTGAGCTATTTTATCAAAACAAGTAAAATAATCAGACATACACTTGTTGTAAGACTGTGTTGGGCACTTCCGGTCCAGGCACGTGATGAAATCTCTCCTCGAAAGATTGAGTTGAAAGTATTCAACAAACTTGATTTTCCGGCACCAACTTGACCAATAAGAAGAATGTTTACTTCTGAAACTTTTGAATCCTTTAGTGGCGAAAATGATCTGATAAAGTCTCTCAGGTTGTGAAGCGTCTGAAGCGTATAAAATTGAAATTTACAACCATACAAGAACAATGCTTCAATTAATGAATTTACATTTCAGCTTCAATTTAATTACCTTTGATTAAAATTTTTGCGAATTGTAAAACAAGAAAACCATCTATATTTTATTGGTTTTAAATTTCTATACTTTTAGTAGATTTTTAAACCTGTTGTTCCCAGGCCGGTGACTGTCTCCATGGCACTGTTAGTCTATCTATATAAAGAAAGCAAATAAAATCTGATTAAAAGTACCGTTATATACAATAATAATAATAATAATAATAATAATAATAATTATAATAATAGTAATAATAATAATAATAATACACAATTTATAAAACGTTGATATTGAATTAATAAAACTACTCTAAAGTGCTGTACAGTAAAACACAAGTAAACATATTTATGAACAATGAATACATTTATGAAAATATATGTGTTAGAAATCAAAACATTTTTTTCAGGTACATGTATGTTAATGTATCAGTTGGTTATCAGCTGACATGACACAATCTTAACCGCTAGGGAATAACTTCCGCTGTTTTGTTTATTTACTAGGGCAATCTTAATAACCTCCTTTTGTTGTATTCCAAAGAAAAAGGTATATTACAAATATACAATTGTTTTGAGACAAATTGTAAAACACAAACATTTCTAATTTTCACCTTTTATCAAATACACCTCCATGTCTGTTACATTGTTGTGTCCATCCTCATTTTTTGAATCATAGTATCTGCTTTGGAACATATTATCTGGAGTTAACGAAAAACTGCCCAAAGTGCTGTCGACCTTATTCTCAAAAGACTTCAAATCTTCGAACTTTGGGCCATAACCGCTATTAAAATAAAGATTCGATGTTTGTCCCCCTTTTAAAGGAAATATTGTGGGCTGCCATTTTGAGCTTGTGTACAGTTTGAATAGAAACGAATTTTCATCGGTGTACCATCCTCCTTCACTTTTCCAACTTTCCGACGCGTATCCTCCGTACACATTATTGTCAGTGTTGTAGAAGATGGTCACCGTAGGTCCCTTGTTGTCACATAACTCGTGGAACTTCTGAGGGGTACACCCGTCTCTGGATATTTTGTACAGCAGTTTGAAATGACAATCTTTGCCGATCCATTCCGAAAGTTGTTTTTTGTCTCGGGTTATTAGAAGAGCTGTCATGCTTTTCTGAAATGGAAAAAAGTAAAATATTGTGACCACTTAAAACTCAAATTTCCCTCTAATTGGCTGTTATTTTCAGGATGACAATGCACCTATCCACCGAGCCAGATCAATTCAAGAATATGTATCTAGAAATCGAATTAATTGTTTAAGCTGGTCTGCTCAGTCTTCAGACATGAATATTATTGAAAATGTTTGATTGCACATCAAACAAAAACTTCAATTAGCTACTGCTGCAATAAAATCGAGAAACAATTTATTAAGGGAATTCGACGTTTATGGACATTTGTTCTATACCTAATGCGTGTCACGCAATTTAACTGCTGATTTTAGTCATTCACATGACGTCATGATCCGACTTTCCGGATCACCACACCGTGGTTTTCTGATTCCATTTCACCACTCTCTGAATCTGATGACAGAGCACGCAGGAACATGACGTTATTTTTTTTTTTTTTTTTTTTATTTTTTTTTGCGCGCGTCAAAAAGTCCCTTGTTGTTATACATTGTTTTAAGGATAGATATAATTCATTGATCTCTAAAGACATATATTTGTTATATTTAGCTAGTTATAAGGGGATATATATCAAATTTATTATTATAACAGTAACTTGATCCGAAGAGTCGTATCACGTCGAGTTGACAGGCTTGGATCATCGGATCAAACGAGACGCGATCGGATTCGGATCAAGTTACTGTTATAATAATAATATATAGGTATTGCGCCTGCTTGCCATAAAAGCTTGAATGGTTCCTTCCATTAGCGGATTCAAAATGTAACCAGACTAAAAGAACATATTACGAAATATTAAATTGTAAGATTTCTTTTTACTTCTGTTGGCATGTTTACCTAAGATTGTTCATAAGAAATCTTAAGATATATCTTAAGAAAATCTTAGAGTCATCGTAAGATTATCTTAAGGTGTTTTTCAAAGCTATCTTATGATTATCCTAAGCTAAGACGTCCTAAATCATTATGACATAGAAATACTCCAAGGAGTAATTATTAACTCTTTACAACTTACTCAATTGTTATGCAACATACACTTAATGATCCCGTCTTTGAAATATGACGTTACCATTTCCCCGCAAGCACTTTATAGCGTGGTACAAGTTTCTCTAAAGTTTAAGGTAAATAATATTATGACTTAATATTTTAATAAGTAAATAACTTTTCTTATTTTATTAGACTTTAGCAAGTATAAAATTAAAGAGAATTGGCATTAAATTAAAGATTAATTGAACTTTTTAAAGTGCGTGAAAAAGCGTGATTGCGGGGAAACGGTATATGCGTGATTTGCGTTAGAAATAGGAAATGGTTTATGCGTTAAAATGCATGACTGCGGGGAAGGGGTTTTAAACTATTTTAGGGATCAGAGAGTTGTAATTTTTTGCTATATAATGCTACACTTATGTCATCATAATAAAAATATTTTAAAAAATGAAAATTAAAAAAATAAAGAATTTGATTTTTTTTTAATTTATAAATATAAATCATATTTTTAATTAGTAACCATCTAAATTCGACGATATACTGTAATATTGGTTGCATTTAAAATCAAATAGAGAGCCATTTGATCATTCAGAATTCTTAAACGATGAAAAGCGCGCCAATTTAGTGAATTTACATGAGTGAAACGGAAGGCAGCACAAAATCGGAAGAAGCAGGCAAAACTGGAGGAGCCCCTCCCCCCTCCAAGACTAAATTATTCGCAAAAAAAAAAAATTGTGAGAATTATTGGTTATACTCCAATTTCTGCCATAGAGGGCGGTTTCAACATCTGAGAGGTCACCGGAAAAAAAATGAAAGTCTCTCTCTATATTAAGACGTCATAAATCATTATGACAGAGAAAACTATCTTTTTTTCTCTCTCTCAGGTTAAAATTGATCGATTGTTTATTGCATGTTTAACGTCCCTCTCGAGAATCTTTCACTCATATGGAAACGCCATCACTTGCCGGTGAAGAGCTACAAATTTTGTCAATACTCGGTACTCAGGGCCATTGGGCAATGAGGGATTTTTTTTCGCGCCAGCACCAACTGCGATACGGGGCCTCGGTTTATAGAATCTCATCCGAAGGACCGGTCTCCATGTCCCATAGTGGGATTCGAACAAGAGACATAGGGATCAACTCCTTACTCCGCGACTCTCTCAGGTTAAGTGAGATTACATAGTTTTATTCTGTTAACAGGTTACATCTTACAATGTATGTTGTGCATCTGCGTGAGGCATTACTGAATGTCATAAGAATTTTAATCGTGGATATTCTTGGAAAGTACGACGATTTCGTCGAGCCAGCAACAACATGGACGCAGCTATTTCTGCTTAAGATAGACTTAAGATATGTCAAAAGCTGACGTAACTTTAAGATTATTCTTAACGACTTTCGATCCTGATATTAAAAGGTAAACTTTTTTTGCCAAGTATGTTTTTAGTTTCTACAAACATAGCTTATTTAAAATTCAAATCAAAAAATGGGGGTCAATGTGCTTCTTTTGGCGCTTCAGCACATTCAATATGACCTTCTTGAACTGAATTTTGTGTCTTAATTAAAAATTACATCTTCTACTTTTTCCCTGCGATATTTTTATCCAATTAAAGCAAGAAACAAAATGAACTCTAAGTCTGTTTCAAAAAAAGACACTTTAAAATTGTAACTGACAAAAAGTTTCAAATTGCTTCGTATAATTTATTATTTGACCTTTCTGCACTAATCAAATGTGATTTTTCTGGCATTGAAAATTTAATAAGCAAGAAAATCATTCTAAAGTCTTAAACTTTTTTCTGAATTTATACAAATAGGTCAATGTTATCTTGAATATTTCGGAACGAACATCAAAAGTGGGGGTATATGATGTTAATTTTCAGATATTACTAAAAAAGTGTCAGTTTTACGTTAAATTTGGATCAATTTTTCCCAGGTTTTCAGAATATATTTACTATATTTGTCACGCTTTGTTGATAGAATTCATAAGAAATAATTTAATAGATATTTCAGAACCAGCATGAAACATTTCGCTGCAAAAAGCAGTTTTATGTGCAACCAGCATGGAAAAATAGGAATCCAAAATAAAGAGTATTGTAATAGTTCAAAAGGGAAAAACTGATGATTACCGTCTAAAAAACCTTCCGCCACAAAATAAAGTCCCCAGTTTAATTCAATTTGAATAGAATTTAATCGCTGTTTTTTCATTGAATATAGTTTAATTTGCATTGTAGAATTCAGATTTAATGTAAGAACTTAAAAAATGATGCAGCATCTTATAAATAAAGGACATGACCAAAATCCACTCAAAAACTCAGGATCGAACGTCCTTAAGAACTTTCTTAGGTTACGATACTTTCGACAACCCCACTTAGTTCTAAGACTTGTCGTAAGTATATCTTATGACGTTTCTTAGTCCTCATATAGCTTCGTAAACATGCCTACGGTGTCTGTGTAAACACGCCGCTGTTATGACCGAATACTTTCTTTGAGTGTCTGTATATTCGCTGAATAAGAATGGTTTTATTTCAAAAATGGCAGTAAGGTATTGACTTACTAAAGTACATAATATACGTAAAAGTAATATATGATGTTTAAATGTTTTAACTTCAATTATATCGTTATTTTTTTTTTTAAATTCTGGGATCCACGCCTTTGATGATCTATTCGATGCCATATTTTGTGCAAGCTGACCAACATACTGCAATAATAACAGAGATAGAAGAGATATGTCAAAGTTACTATGATTCTTTGAAGGCTTCGTTGTATGGTGCGTTTTGTTTAAAATAAATATTATTATTTTGAAATTGCGATATTTCCCAGACCACCAGCTTATTGATGACACCTTACTCTGGGACTTCATATCCGGGTTTTAAACGCAGTTATCTCTCGTGATGATTAATAGCATTTTACATGTACTTCGAAAAAATATATATAATAAATTAATATATACATATGTAATGTATAATGCAAGATGGAGATTCTTGTAAGAGTACAGCTAAACAATTGGTGACTTACCTTACTCAAAGACACAGTTCCTTAATCAATTCTATGAATTAAACTGCACTTTTTCTTTCGTTTTATTTAAAAAAAAAAACTACGGGGTATCGGTCTATACGTCGAAGATAAAATAATCAATTTAGATACTTTTCAAAGTTTGTTTTACTTACGTACACGTTGAAAGAAATAAATAGTAATTGATAGGATACAATAATCATTATTAAACTTTAACGCATTCATCGTTAATCAAGGACAAAATGAATAAATATCAAATAACATCAGATCTTTGTGAACATGAATGTAATTTTCAATGAGATTTAACAGACATATTTATTATTTTTTTTTCATTTGAATTCGTTGATTTAGCAAGTTTTTTTTATTTAGCCTTTTTTATTTCTTATATGAATCTTAGGGACGTTTCTTTACACCACTTTTTGATTATTAAGAAAACGAATATTAAATAAATAGATAAAATGAATAAAAAATAACAAATTAAATAAAACTCTAACAATAGATGTTTTTCTTTTTCAGATTGTGACGAATTATACATGTACATGTATCTTCTATATGTATGAACCAGATTTTTTCATAACAAAATTAAACATGTGATCACAAATACACTGAAGACAAAATAAAAGATTTATCAGGAGTAATAAAATGACGAAAATTTTCAGGCAGTCGGAGCCCTATCCGAAGGACAACTTGTATATACTAGCTAATAATAGTCACAGCGTATACATACATAGATCTACTTTTTCAGCATGTTTGAATCAAAATCTTCTGTATTGCTTGTAGAGAATTTAAATACCTGTATATCATACAATACTTTTGTTGATTTATGTACGTAATATTTTTTTATATATGTACGAGGGCTGTTCAATAAATAATGTCCTCAGTGCTCTGAAAGAAGCTAAAGACGCTTTTCAATGATCGATTTAGTCTTCATGATTTTACTAAATAATCTCTTTTAAGTAAAATACATGTCCGTAAGATTTTTTATCCAATTTCTGATTGTTTTTAGAACTCATTTTTGGGTATGACCCTTAGTATACTGGAAAATGGCAGATCCAATGATTTCCCTGACTTGTTTCTTCCCTCTGAAAGGTGTTTTTTTTTTAAGTTTGGAAATAGAAACCTGCCAAAAGGTCAAAATCTGGCAAATATTGTTAATGTGAAAAAAACATTAACTTTCTTTTTATCCCGAAAACCCCTTTACTCTTCAGGGCATGCGGGTTTGGACGCTGTCTTGAAGAAATTCAATGTAGCGGATTCCTGATTCTGGGTCCTTCCTCGAAGAAACCCTTTGATGTTTTTGCAAAAAAATTGCTTGCTTAACTCCTCCAGAAATTAAACTGTCTCTCCGAGTACGAATTTGAACAACAATACCACTAATTTTTAAGAAAATTACATATAAATCTGTCTTTGTGCTCTTGAATACCTGTGCTCTTGTCAGACATTCGCTGTTTTTATCAAATACATTTTATGGTAAATTTTGTTTTGAGGGTTTCAATCAATAGATTCATGTTCCAATATCTGTTTGAAAATAAAACAAACGTGGATAACTAAAATGACTGATGTTTTAAAATAATTGTAAAGAATTTCGTATACGCTGTCGTTTTCACTCATTTTTCAAAATATAGGGTGACCTTCGAGTACCAAGCTTTTTTACCGTCAAACGTTTCTCAAAAACAGTGAAAACTACCCCCGATATGATGTCTATCAAATTTGCTATTTGTCTTAAAGTCAATCATACATCATCAAATATCATTTGTTGAAATTTGGCAACCAGTACATAAGTTGTTATAATTTTTGTTGGCAAGGAGGGTACCCTTTTTTGATGCCCATTATATAATTTTTTATCATTGAAATCCACCTGCTCTTTTGTCTATAAAACAGGCATTGGTTGCTGTAAATGTCATATATTTCAGTGAATATTTCTTTGGGATTTTTAACAAGTTTTACGGCAGCTATAATGAAGCTTTTATTTTCACTCTAGTTTACTGATTCCTTACCATTTGTTTATAATGCAGTGTCTCGAAAAGCCCTTGTTTCCCAGCTTCTCACGATGAAACTATGTGATGAAAACTGGTCACATAAACTGTTATAAATTCATGAAAGATTAAATAATGAGAGAAACTGAAGTTTAATGTCATATGATATCTGTTATGTATGTTATATAGTTCAGGACATTATTTATTGAACAGCCCTCGTATATGAAAAACATTAACCTTAAACTAAATTTAAGGTGTTCCAAAACTTCCTGAATACTTTGAGTATGGTGGATAAGAAAACATTTATAAAATAAATAAATGTATTATTTACTTGAAATTTGCACTTCTTTATGAAATTTTGCATTCAATTTAACACCTTTTCTTTATTGACATAAATTTCCTTTTCCTATCATTTCATACACACATATTAGACGTTAAAAGAAATCCACCTGCTAGAATATAATCGTTGGTGGGAGAGGTGTGCAGTTCTTAGGTATAGAGTATCTCTTTTTTCGATTATGTTAGCCCTCTCCAACCTCAAAATAGTATGCGTGATTTAACCCTTTAATTTTATATTGATTATATTTAAATATGACATTTAACATGTACGACGTTTAATATTTCTAGAATGTCTTTTTAAACTTGTTTAAACTTGGTCTTATAGGTATTTTTGTAAAAGTTTTCCGAACAATATTATTTTCGACTTTACGTACGTAACTAAGGTAACAACTGTTCTTTCGTCAACCCCTTGGCACCTTTGAAATAAAAGTGGACTGAGGTTCTTTCGGACGAGACCTTAAAAGTCGAGACCCCGGTAGGCGTTTAAGATAATAATCCATCAGTCCTTGGTGCACTCAGTGCACAGTAAATGTCTTAATTGAGCCTTTCATTGGTACAAGTATATGGAGCCAAATTTAAATGAGTGAATAATTTTCAAAAAAGATGTAAAATGACGTACAATTAATCAATCAATCAATCATAAACGATACTGTTGATATTTCATAGCTTGTTGTGTTAAAAAATTGTTTATAGAGGTTTAAAATAGTAATTGATTAATGCTCTTCTTTAGTTGATTAATGTAAGACAAAGTATATATTGATATATCTATATTTGTTTTACATGAGTTTTTTCTTGATCTATTACATGACTTTGAACAGCAGGGTAATTTACAAACTATTTTGAGTTATGTTGTCAAGTTTTGTGTAAACTACTGTCATAACTGTTTTTTGTGTTGATATCGTATTCAAATATAGTTTAACTGTAGCTCTCTGCTTGAGAAAATTCGGACAGATAGAAAGGAGACCCACAGATCCAGGCGTCGTAAAAACCTTATATTTACGCCGTCGATTTGTCACGGTGTAACTGGTTTCGGGATATTTCTAAGTTAATAGTGAAAAACAAAAATTTTTGCAATCAACAGATGTACAACAGATCGTCTTTGGATGTGAATTTTTTTTTTAATGCTATTTTTAGCCTACCTTTTAAACACCAAATTCCTTTGGAGTTATATGAACTAAAACAGGCGATACCACCGCGTTTGACTTCAAATATTTTAAGAACTCATAAAAAAGTAAGATTATTATATTCTCAACAGTGATCATTGTTCTTTTATTATTAACAGAGAATTTTTGAACTGGACTAGAATGCAAACGTTAAAATCTTTGAACCATGCGAATTTTCAAGACCAAACAACTTATTTGTCTATGTATATAAATGTCTTTATTTTATGAATACCAAACGGGTTTTATCTTTCGTTTTTTTTTATGATTATTGATGCAAAACTATTTGCTAGTACCTTTTCCCTGTACTCTTCAAATCCTGTTTTTTTTGTGCATATAACATTAAAACTCTAAATATTTAAAGAAAAATACAGAACATATCATGTTCAAACAATGTGCAAAATAGATTAAGTTTTGTCGAACAGTTTCTAAAATCTTAAAGATCTTGGACCCATCGCATATACTAAATACACCATATTTTCTTTCCCTTTGTTCCGCATTACACACAGGTGAAATCAATATTTATGTTATTTTAAACATAATCCTATTTCATGCTTATATATGATATTTGGCATTTGAAAAATATATACAAAACCAATATTCGCTTACCTTCTATTTGTCTGCGTTACATGCGAATGAAACCGATATGTTTGTGTTTTGATATCTCACGTCTATATTTGATGCTTCTCATTGAAAAGGGGAAAAGTAGTATTTTAAAGTTGTCGCAGTACCTATTTAATGAAGTAAAAAATCTATATTTGACCAACACAATCTGCATACAAATTATATCTGTACAAAAATAAAAAATAGAATTGATTACCAATTTCCACTTCATATGACTATATAACTGCAACAGTTGAACACGAATAATTATTCTTGAATGACTTTGACATGTTAAAATTATAAATAATATATCTTTTTATGAATCAGGTTCATAAGAAGTAATTTCGGGGGATAGGGATGGGGGCAAAACCATCAAACATTATTAGTTTAGCGTAGGGGGGAGGGGGGGGGGGGGGGGCTTACAAACTAAAATTCAAAAAGAATAATAGGATATTTGAGAAAGCACAATGATAAAGTAAGTATCATATGATATGTGCCTAAGGTGTTTATAGAAAAAAATAAATAAAAGTTTTTGTGTTTCACTCATTGATCAGTTAATGGTGTTCAAATTTTGAGATAATTGAAAGTCAAAGAAAAGGACTGTAAATCTTTATTTTGCATGATATCAATACTTGTCCAATTGAAGGCAATCGAGTTCATCGGTCTAAATTATAAGTATTCTCTTTGATACAATTTTCTGCTGTCTTGAATTAAAATTTCCTTTTGGACAAATATTTTGCCTGGGAACCGGGACTATATTTTTTGGCATCAGATCAGCAATGAGGCACCAATGTGACTTTAACTGACAAACCAGCTGAATAAGAATTGCATTATGGGTTACTACGAACACTACAGGAATTTTGTGCTTGATAAATTCCTTTATTGTACTAACGGTGAATAATTTAATTTCACTTGTATCAAGCAATTTCATTGGCTGAATCATTCAGAGGAACATATAATATTTTGTATAACATAACTTGCCTACGTCACAATGCGTTACG